GCAGCAAGCCAGCACGAGTCCGAGCAGCACCAGACCCCACGGGCACTGAGTGCAAAAAGCGGGGGGTACACCCCGCAACAGCTCGGCTCCAAAGGCCGCGACGGGTGCGAGCCAGGAAGTCATCAACTCCTCCTGAAAAGCTTCGGAGCGGTGGACGACGCTGCTTCACTTCAGCATGGGATAGTGCCAAACCCTAAAAAAAATTCCTAAACCCGGACCGGCTCCTGCTTCAGGAGCTCCTCCTGCCTCTTCGAGGCCTCCAAGCGGTGAAAACCCGAAACCAACCCCCAAAGCTCCTTAGGGCTTCAGGGCTTAGGGGTTTTGGGGTTTAGGGGTTTAGGGGTTTAGGGGCTTATTTAGGGTTTAGGGTTCGGGGTTTGGGGTTTAGGGCTAAACCTGACAGAACCCTAAAAACCTCCAAGAGTTCAGCCTGAAAGCTCAAGCTGAACCCTCAGACGCTATACTCACATCAGACTCTGCATCCCTCTGCCCTCAATGCAGAGGCCTTGAGGCAGTGATGCAGGAAGTCGGGACAGCAGTTCCCATAGTTCATGCACTCAGACGTGCACTGGCATGCGTTCGCCGGACAGAAGCCTGTGAGGGTTTAGGGTTTAGGGGTTTAGGGTTTAGGGGTTTAGGGTTCAGAGCTTTAGGCTGCTAAAAGGAGTTCATAAAGAGTCTATCAGAAGTCTAGATTCTAGATTTTTTTTGTCAAGGCTTGTAAGAACCCTCTTCAGAACCAGGTTTCGGGTTCAGCTTACAAAGCTTCACGACGTTGATAGCAGCTGTCTGCATCAGGTGTTCATAACAGTAGGGTTTAGGGTCAAGTTAAGCACTTTGGTCAGGATTTCGCGGTACGGAAGAGCAAAAACCCGAAACCAAGCCGCGTGCCTGCATACGGGTTGCCCCTGATCCCAAATTTTGGAGTTGAGGGTTTTGGGTTTAGGCCGAACCCTGAACATCCCTAGCCCCTAACACCTTATACCCAAAGGCCTTCTGCCAAAAGCCCTCAGCCCTGAACCTTCAGCCCATAGCCCACATTGATAGCAGCCAGCCTGAACCCAGAGACCAAAACCCCTTGAACTCAACACTCTCGCATCCCAGAAGGACTCGGACGTTAAATCCTTAATCCCTAAACCGTAAACCAAAAGCCAAGCAGCAACAACCTGGGAACCCTAAACCCAAAAACCCTAAACCGCAAAACAATAAAATGTGTGGTGTGTGTGCGTGTGAATTATACATTACGTGTTAAAACTTATGTATATACATATATACATATATACGTATATATATATATATATATAAGTGTATAGATATATATATATATATATATATATATGTATAAATGTATATATATGTATATGTATATATATATATATATGTATATATATATATGTATATATGTGTATATATGTATATATATATATATAT